TGACTCTCCCAATCGTGAGTGAGCTCCCTTCTGAAGCCGGTCTTCCTGCAGATGCTGATGCAACTTTTGATGCCGAAATTGAAGAACTTTTCTCTTGATTATGTATTTTTTCCTTTTGTTACATTTTTTCCTTTGTAACCGGGCTATGCCCCTCTGTAATGGTTTTTCAATGAATGAAAAATTTGTTTGAACTCTTATTCCGGTTCTGATATGTATGCCTGTACTTTGTGATGCCCTCCATTTTTTCAACTGCTATTTCGGTTTTAGGTGGTTAAACTATGCTTATTAGCCAACCACTCCTTAGCCGATATAATCACTTCGGCTGAGGAGTACAAAGAGTTGGTTTAATCCGGCCAACCGCTTTTCGGCCGTGTCCTGACTTCAGCTGAAGAGTAACAAGTGTTGGTTTATTTCAGCCAACCACTCTTCAGCCATAGTCTTACTTTGGCTGAAAAGTAACAAGTGTTGGTTTATTCTAGCCAACCACTCTTCAGCCATACCCTTACTTTGGCTGAAGAGTAACAAGTGTTGGTTTATTCCAGCCAACCTTTAAGTTAGTTTTTCCAGCTAACTTAGAATAATGTTTGGTTATTCCGACAAAACGTCCTGCAGCCTGGATCCTTATCCTGGGCTTAGGAAGGTGTTGGTTTAATCCCGCCAACCTCTAAGTTAGTTTTTCCAGCTAACTTAGAATAATGTTTGGTTATTCCGACCAAACGTCCTGCAGCCTGGATCCTTATCCTGGGCTTAGGAAGGTGTTGGTTTAATCCAACCAACTTCTAAGTTAGTTTTTCCAGCTAACTTAGAATAATGTTTGGTTATTCCGACCAAACGTCCTGCAGCCTGGATCCTTATCCTGGGCTTAGGAAGGTGTTGGTTTAATCCAGCCAACTTCTAAGTTAGTTTTTCCAGCTAACTTAGAATAATGTTTGGTTATTCCGACCAAACGTCCTGCAGCCTGGATCCTTATCCTGTGCTTAGGAAGGTGTTGGTTTAATCCAGCCAACTTCTAAGTTAGTTTTTCCAGCTAACTTAGAATAAAATGCTTGCAATGTGCCTAATCGATACTAAAGCGAACTTTTTACAAAGAACAACTTGTGCTAAAAAGAATTGCTAGTTTTATTGAAAAAAGAAAAAATTACATATGTTTGATAAAAAGAAAAGCTAAAAGTAAAATAACTTGAGATTGGCCGTGTTCCATAGCCTAGGGATTGCTTTGCCGTCCTCATCTTCTAGGTGGTATGCCCCTTTGCCTGCTAACCCAACCACCTTGTAAGGACCTTCCCAGTTTGGCCCCAACTTTCCATCTCCTGGGGTCGAGGTGTTTCTCATTACTTTGCGCAGTACCCAATCGCCTATCTTGAATTGTCTTGGATGCACCTTTTTGTTGTATTTTCTAATTAACTCTCGTTGGTATGCGGCGATGTGAACTAATGCTCTTTCTCTTCTTTCTTCTACAAGGTCAAGTTCCAATGTTATGGCTTCTCCATTCAGGTCTGGATCAAAATTTTCGCTTCGAATTGTGGGGAGGCCAACTTCCAGTGGGATTACTGCTTCTATTCCATAGGCTAAGGAGAATGGTGTCTCTCCTGTTGATCGTCGAGGTGTGGTACGGTAA